CACAGACTCCAAAAAATAATCGTAAAAATATCATACTTTCGTACTGAATATCGAGAAAACACTTCATACAGTGATTATTGGACCTTTAAAGAGTATTTTTAGGAAGTTTCAGCTGAATCCAAGTTTGAGCGATTTTCGTCGTAGTAGCACTTTAAAGACCTTCAAATTTTATCAATGCCCTAACGCTGACCCGCGTTAGGGCACAGCTGATTACTTACAGGTTAAATTGAAATTTAGGTAGTGATGCTGATTACAGGAATTGAACCCTAGACCCCAAAGGTGAGAGGCAAGTGCACTATTGCTACATTAGACCACCCTTGATTTGTATCTCTGTAGTAAGATCTGGTTCAATGCAAGCCAGACAAGAATTTCATGTGTCTGATCAGCATTTGTTAGTTGTTCTCTGGGTTTTCTAGCCTTTCTTTTATACATACTACTTACCTTGATGCCATCTTTGAACTGCACCAATACTTCAGCTCTCTTGCTATTTGTCTTATCTATTGCTTTCTGTACTTTTGCTTCCTCTGCCTCAAGGTTTGGTGCTTCATTTTTGACTGTCTCCAGCCTTTAACATCAAAAACAGATAGATGAAACAGTATTTGCCAAACCATCAATCAATAAAACCAACACAGTCGGTCAATGAGTCAGTCACTAAGTCAGCTACCATTCATGTCGATCAGGCAGCAAGCCAGCCAGTCAGAGATTCAGTCAATCACTGGAAAACATATTTTGTACTGTACATAACATAAAGTATTTAATTTTAACTAAAAACAATATTTGCTATACGTTTTTTGCTTGTTTTCCAACTGGTTTGCAAGTGTTCTTCTCCTCTGAAGTTGAGAAGTCAGTGTTTTCTGAAAATAGAGAAAATAATTAGCCAAAGCATGAGCATAAGATGACCAAAAGTTTTTAGAATAAAAGTATGTTACTATAGTGACAAACCTTGGAGTTTCTCAGTTCTTCAAGTTGTGAAGTTAATGCTGTTTCTTGTTCTTTTAGTTGTTGATAGTTTGCATTCATAGTTTGAAGCTGTGATTTCACTTCCTGTGTTAAGCAAAATAAATTAATATAAAATGAATGAGTGACAATGGATAAGTGGATGGATGAAGAAATAGAAAATAGATGAAAATATTAATAAATTCTGGCAGCTCCAGTGATAGATTAATTTTTTTGGATGGAAGAGTGTGTGGATGGATGAATGGATAGATAATATGAAAAAATGGACAGATGAGTGAATGGAAGGATGGGTCGTCGGATGGACAGATGGATGGGAGGTGCACTTTACAGAATGAAAAAAGAGATTGTATAGAAAAAAAATAAAGGAAGGAAATGAAAAGAAAAAATGGTTTTCACCTGTAGTTCTGCCTCAAGTTGTCTCTTTGCTACCATGTCAACAGCAATGTTGAAAAATCTTGCATCTCTAAACAGCAAAAACAGTTAGGTCAAACCCCAGCATTCCCAATCAAGCTAAGGTGATATAATAAATCTTGCTATTTCTTCTGTTCTGTTCTGTGAATTATAAGGTATTTACCTGATATTTTCTACAAGTGTTGATCTTTCTCTGTTACCATACTTGGACCTTTTTACAATATACTGCAGCGGGAAGAGGATTTTATAATTATAGTATATGGCATACATTTTGAACAATAGATTTTGAGTGAGCCAAAGCAAACTTGGTGCTACTGCATATTAAAAATGTTGCATGATGGGCATCCTTGCTCCACCCATGAACTCTGCTGCATCCGCTTTTTTTCATTTGCTGGTAAGATTAACTCTCTACCAGCAATTTCAAATCATTGGTATATATCAATATAAATACAAAACTTAATTCACTTACTCTTGATGTTGGAGTGTAGAAATGCATTATTCCAGATTCATTTATAACCTGATGGTACAAAGGAAAAATTAGCACTCAAAACTTCCCATTTTGGCTGGTAAAGTTGACCATTGAAAATTCCAGATTCAAACTCTTCCATAGAAATGATTAATGATCAATATTTTAAATCGGTAAGGCAGTCTCAGATGTTTTAATACTTTGTTTATGCAACCTTTTAGTGTTACAAAGGGCCACCAATATAGTTCTGGTGAATCGACATCTGTGTAAGGCACCTTGATTTTCCTAGGGGTGAGGAGGGTCTTATTAGGGTTTTTTCAAGATGTATTTTTATGAGGCTTTCTCTGGATATGAGGATCTAGTCTAGTCTTAGTCCAAATACATTGGGTGAGGGAAGTTAGTCTCCTTTCTTATCTCTTCTGCATACATTTTTCCCTTTGGTGGGCTACCTGTGCTGTGTAATATAATACTTTTGCTGATAGATACTGAAGTGGAAAAACAAGAAAAGGAGGAAAGACTGCAACACTTGGTTGAGTTTATTTCTTTTCTCATCTCTCTCTTCTAAGTCTCCATCTCCCAACACTTTCTACAGGAAGCCCAGAGAAGAAAAGTGATGTCTCCAGAGGAGGCTTATAAAGAACTAAAAATACCTTTTCTGCATTATTAGTTGTCCAATCATTTCCTAAAGGAATTTCATGTGCTTTGTATGTATCACACAAATACTTCATGACAGCATCTGGGGCTGTGAAGAGTTCCTTTAGGTAACACTGAAAACCATATTGTCTGATGATACATTAAAAAAAGAATGAACGTGATAAGAAAAATAAATAAATAAAACAAGGCACATTGGAAAGCAAGGTTGGTGAGAGAACTCATCTCTCACTAATGCCACTCAGGTTTGATTCCAAGCCAGTATCATATATACATGACTATAGTTGCTTGTTGGTTCTCTCCTGTACTTTGTCGGTTTTTATCCAGTTTCTCAGGTTCTCCTTCCTCCACAGACATTAATTTTTCTGAGATAGTGAAAATGGTGCATTATGGTCTAGCTTGGGTACAAATATCTGTTGTTCATAAAGCCTTATATGGTGTTGTTTGCACCAAATCTAGATCACAATGCATCCTGTTTATTGAACTCAGAAAAGACCTACCTAGCTACTTCACAGATGAATTGGAATTTGGTTTGTTAGGTAATGCAGAGTAAAGAAAACCCGAGAAAAGTCCTTAGCTACTTCACAGATGAATTGGAATTTGGTTTGTTAGGTTATGCAGAGTAAAGAAAACCAGAGAAAAGTCCTTAGCTACTTCACAGATGAATTGGAATTTGGTTTGTTAGGTTATGCAGAGTAAAGAAAACCAGAGAAAAACCCTTGCATCAAAGGAGAGACAAGTGCGATGCAAGTGCACTACTGCTAGACCACTCTTTATTTCCTTACATTTAGAAATAGCAAAACAAATGAAAGAAAATATTAACACCAGAAGAAATACTTACTTTAAATCTTCAATGTTACGAGATGGTTTGAAGCTAGACAGCGGATGATCAGGAGGAGTAACACCATTTACTTTTAAATTCTGTTTATCTCTGACCTATCAAAAAATACAGAAATGGATTTTGAGATATATAAAAAAAGATGAATGAAAAGTATGCTTATATAGTTACCTCATTAAAGAACAGCTTCATATCGTCTCTGCTCTCAAACACAAATGATCTTAGATCATTACTGGATATCAGCTTCTCCAGATATTTTGCATTATTCACATCATGCATATTCACCTAGTAAAGAAAGAGTGAATGAGTGAATGAATGAATGGGAATAACTGTAAGAGAAATGGTTCATGTACAGGGTGGGTAACTTTGTTCTTGTTTTCTTGAAGCCATATGAATACATAGGAATGAAATGAATGAATGGGAATGAAATGAATGAATGGGAATGAAATGAACGAATTGAAATGAATGAATGGGAATAAAACGAATGAATGGGAATGAAATGAATGAATGGGAATGAAATGAATGAATTGAAATGAATAAATGGGAATAAAACAAATAAATGGAAATGAAATGAATGAATGGGAATGAAATGAATGAATTGAAATGAATGAATGGGAATGAAATGAATGAATGGGAATTGAAGGTGAATGGATATACCTGTAATAGTATTGGTTCATGAACAGGGTGGCTGAATTTGTCCTTGTTTTCTCTAAGCCACATCACTGCATTATAAGTATCCCTGTTGTGATTGCGTAGATACTGTAATCTCAATTTCTTCATGTCCTCCAGTTTGTTCAACCTACTTGTTACATCTGACAAAGAAAATGGAAAAAAAATGTTAATATTAATATCAATAGTATTTAAGTGACAAATTGCAATGAACAGTAAACTATTTATTTCTATCATAAAAACTAATATACCCTGCGTCTGGGCAGTAAGGTGTCGTTTTTCATCCAAAATCCTGCTTCCTTGTTGCTGAATGCCAGTCAGTTCTCTATTGATCCTCCTGGCATTGTTAGTAACTTCATCAATTTGGGGCTGAAAGTCAACAAAGGAAGCATACTCATATACAGCACTGTAGTTTGATTGGCTTTCATGGGAATGATTGACAGTAATAAGATAGATACCTGCAAGTCTGATTGATCTGGAAGCTTTTCAAGTTCATTTTGGGTACCCTGTATCTGTCGTTCTAAATCTGCAATTCTGATTTATCAGACAGCAAGAATTAAAACACAAGATTTTCTATACTCTGAGATGCTGTTTTGATATACAGTACATAAAGAGCTTCATCATCATCATCTTCTTCATCCCCAACATTCTCAATATCATCATTATCACCACAATCTACCATCATCACTATCATTCACTATCATTGTTATCATCAATCACACCACATTCCCTACCAATTTTGTGACTACTGCTAATTTCCATTAGTACTACTATCACTATTGCGACAGACAACATCCTTACCATCATCATTCCCATTATCATCACCAATGAAGAGTACACTTAGTGGCCATTTTTCTAATACTTAACACTACAGGTATAGTGTACTTACTTCTTTTCTCTGCGTTTTTCCTGATCTTTCATGTCTTTCAGTTGATTTATATGCTCTTCAACCTTAACAGATGTAAAATACATGCATATATATCCTCAATAATAAAGGGTACATGAAATTAGTGGACCATAGTAAGATGAATCAGAAGGAAGTACAATAGCACATGAAGTCACTGGGTTGGTAAATGTATGATATCTAATATTTATCTATCAAATAACAAATAATTACGTAAATACCATACCTGGTCATTTAGCTTTTCTAGCTGGTCACTTTTTGCTTTAGCTTTTCGAATGACCTCATTCCCATTATCATTCTTCAATGAAAAAAGTTTTGAATGGTTACACAGAGCTTTAGAAGTCACAAAGCAAATGTTTCTTATACTACAACTCAACATGTTACAAACTTCTCCATTTTGAAGAGTAGAACTTAATAAAACTCCTGAAGCATAAAGCAGCCTACTTCTTAAATGGCATTGGACAGGGCGATAAGATCCTCAACTTTTCCCAAAAATCCATTTTCCCACCTGTTGCTTCATAGCAGCATCTAGTTCCTTTAGTTCTGCTTCCACTGCATTCAGATTCTGTTGCATTGGTGCATTCTGTCTCTTGGTAATGTCCCGTTTCTTCTTTGCCTCTTCTCTGAGATTCTTCAGTTCCACAAATTTCACTCTTGCTTCTTCATATTCCTTGAATAGAATTGTTTCACCAAGTAAGTTTTTTTTCATAATTATTTTACTGTCATAAGTAATTTCATCAGCAACTTACAGCCCATGGTCTCTTTTTCTCCAGGATTTGTACTTTCTCCAAATGCCGCTCTCTTTCTTGAAATCTTCGTACTTCATGCTCAAGTTGTTGATTTTGTTCCTTCAGCTTGTCCAAGTGATCTGTCTTTTCCTTTAGTGACAACTATGACAATAAAATGGTACCAAATGTGAACTATCAATATCTAGATTTAGATTGAAAGATTGATTCCTTGCCCTGGGCTGTGGAAGCGAGTAAAGGCCCTTGGGATCAACAATACTAAATTACCACATATGCATCTATCAATTTCCATGTACGAAATTTCATCAAACAGCAACCTCTGGGCAGAACCAACTTACAGGTTGAAAATAGAATCTAGGATGATGTGTTTGGGAGGAAAACTAGAGAAAAACTTTTGAGCCCAGAGGTGGAAGGCAAACACACTGCTGTTACACCACCCTTACAATCTACTGTACCTCCAGTTCTTTTTCTTTTTTTCTCAGTTCAATGAGCTGCTGGTGGTTGTCACTCATTCCTATAGGTCCAACCTTCAAAATAGAATTAGATCTCTTAGTATCTAAGACACCAGCTATAATATGTAGTTTAAAGACAAATCTACTTACAGCTACTTCAGTGGCAAGCAAAAGCTGCTGTGGAGACATCTTAGCAAATTCCACCACCCTATCCTTTAGTAGAAATCATAAAATAACTGTTATAAAGCTGATCTTTTTCATTGGTTAGGAGTTAGTGCTTTATGAGAACACACAGCACATATTCTATAAAAGAAACACAAAAAACTTGCTTGCTGTGTAGTGTTTAATTAAAGCACTCAGGGATTGGCAGATCACTTCCAAAAGGATTGAGAAGCACTGCCCAATGCTTCATCTCCTAATACTTCTTTCATTTTCCTCAACCCCACATATTTTAAAAACAGCACTCACACATATTTGATAATTCTTCATTTAACAAAGGCTATTACGTGTAAAATGTGTGAATATATGTGGAAGAAACTAGTTTTCTAATGACTATTCCCGCATACAACCACATTTTGAATAATATAATTTGCTGAGGTCTTAGGTATATAAGAAGAGGATCAAGTAGCCCTGGAGTGAATTATATTTTATACCTGTGGCAGAAACTGGCATAAGTTACTAATCTGTATATTCAACATGGTAGTGACCTCTTGGACCTAAAAGATCAATAATCATAAAATGAATATTTAAGTATAAAGAAGAGGTAACTGGAATTAATCCATATGAATTTGCATAACTGAAATAATCATTTCACAAATATAAATAACACTAAAGACACTATATTTAACTTTAAGAAGACTGAAAAAAAGGTACAAACCTCTTTCATGGTGGCAGGTTTGCCATTTAGTTTCCAGTTTGACCTGTTGCCTTCTCGGTAAATCTCTCTTGTTATCACATAATTTTTACCACTACAATTAAATCTACAACAACAAGATTTGATGCCATTAAAGAGTTTCAAGGAATAAAAGGCTTGATGAACTTGGCTAGGTTATACAGTATATATAAATTTTGAGGAATATAGCAACTTCTACAGTACTTAGAACATGTACAGTATGCTACTTACAGTTCAACTTCTATTAAGGCTTGAGGATGGCCATGCTTTACAAATTCACCAACCTAAGACCAAATATTTCTCTGCAATTAGTTCTTTACTCACTCACTTCAGGTGGAACAGTGGTCAAATGACTTAGACAGTGATGAATTTATTGAATCCTGAAACAAGGTCCCCCGATTGATACTGTAGTTCATGGTTTGACCTGTGAGTTAGCCATGCCCTGGCTTTGATCAGCTCAGAGGTTGTTTTGGGGTTCAATCTTTGATTTAGCTGTGCCCTGACTTAGATAAGCCCAGAGGTAGTTTCAGGGTTCAATCTTTGAGTTAGCCGTGCCCTGTTAGATCAGCCCAGAGGTTGTTCAGTTTGGGTTAAATCTCCAAGATAGCTGTGTCCTCACATTGATCTGTTCAGAAGTTGTTTCAGGGGAAGGGTATTCTTTGATTGCACATTAGTTAACTGCAGCCTCTCATGGAGCTAGCCTTGGTGCCATTTAACAAAACATTTCTCATTCACTAGTATCCATTGTAAAAGGCACCCCCCCCTCCCCCTGAGGCTTAACATTGACATGTGCTAGCTAATTAAAGTCTCACCTCAAATGCTCTTCCCAACAGTTTTGGACTGCCAGCCAGACCAAGACACAAAGCACAGACAACTGTGGACTTCCCAGTACCTAATAAAACACCAAGTGCATTACTTCCCAATAAAGTGTTCATGCTGTAAAGTGACAGCCATGGGTTTAAAGTAAATAAGTCTTACAGATGTCCAAGCAACGGTAAAAGTTTACTAAACATGGTCAATTCTTATGTGTTTTGCAAACAATATCGTTACCATTTGGCCCAACTAGAACGTTGAGATGAGGACCAGGACGGAATTCGCATTCATCATAGGTACTATTAAGAGAGAAGAGAGTTATTATTAAGCTGAATGTCAAAGAACTTCTCTGTCATATTTGACAAGGTGCCTGTCAAGGTAAGAACTACTCACACAAAATTCTTCATTTTAACTCTATAAATCGAGCCATCAACGAAACCTTTTGCACTAGGAGGCTTTTCCAATCTAAAGGCTCCATTGGTGGCGCTTTTACGGGCTTTTCTAGACGAGCTATGTTCATTTTTGACGACTTTTGTTCTCTTGGCCGGGGACGCCATCTTGTCTTGTTGTGAAAATTTTCGCGCCAAGGGACTTCTCATCCGGGGCATTTAGAACACACAGGAAACCCAATAACGCCTTATTTATATTCATTAAAAAAACTTTACTGTAAAGAAAAAACAATATTTTAAATCCTCTGAAAGTAGTTGATTAATTTTAAGAATAAAAACCTCCAATTTAAAATATATTTATGCTGATCTTTTTATAAACTTAGTGAGGAGAAGAATACATGTCCAAATATGGAAAACACAGGCTACCCAACAAGGGAAATTTCACAAAAAATAATACTATTTTCTCAAGGTGACGCTTGCTTTTGTAAACAAAAGTACTCAATTATAATCTATTCTAGGAGCCAAAATCTTTTAATTCTATTTTTGGTTGTTTCAGGGTATTTTTAGTATAGTTCTTTTGGGAAAGTACCATATCCCGCAGCTTGTCCCGATCCCGCAAATGGAAGCTCTCCCCAGCCTTCCTCCAATGAGTTATTTTTATTTTTTCTGAGAACTGTTGGAAGTTGTATTCATTTCCGGAATGTTGACCAATTTCAGTTGGTTTTCGCAGCTTGATTTTATTCAAATGAAGCTTTTCACACAATTATGGAGACATGAGTAAAGGTATGATGTAGGTTAGAACGTTCAGGAAGAAATCGGGAAACATAGAAAAGATCTCAAGTCCAACAATATCACAAAAATAACCACACACTTGACTCATGATTTTGCAGTGGTTTAATACCAAGAAATCCGGATTTTCTGGATCTTTTAAACCTCGAAAATCAATCTACCTGAGCTTCCTTTTTTCCTTAATATCGTCAAAAATCTATGCATACATGTAAGCAAGGTGAAGTGAAAACCGCGGAAGTCGTGAGTAAGTACTAAGCTAGTATAAGCTTGAAAGGCTTATTTACTTTTATGAAGCTATATATTGAACCTCTTATATTGAACCTAAAACACGAAGGAACATGCAGTTTAGTATACTTAAATTTGCTTAATCTGCAAAACTCAACAGAGATTTTGATTCATTATTTTTGTGATAGATTTTTTTCTTTAATCTCATTATAATATTGATTCAATACCATACAACACCATGCATTCTTGTTTATTTTCAGTTTAATTTATACAATTTTATCTTAAATTTTTAAGCCTTTTCTAAATAAATGCTAATAGTTTTAGTTTATCTATGATGAATAATCAATAGATACATGTATTTGGAATTTATAAGCTTGTTTCTGTCTGATAGCTGAAATTTTGAAACTACAAGAAATATTTGTGGATTAAGAGTGCAGGATTTCATATTATGCTAACTAAACTCCCTATGATATAGTTTGAGAAAGCATGTTGAACGATTTTATGGTGAATTAATATCATCTGAAATGTAATTCAAGTTTCTTTGTTGCAAAGGGGATATTGAGGGCCTCTTGAGAGCTTCTTGGCACAACAAAGAGAATTTTGTTGTACACAAGGGTACGGTGGTAATACAAGAGTATTACAAATTCCTTCTGCAAAATATCAGGCAGTATTGCCTTGCATGACATGTTGTAAAACTTTGCTGCCTTTATTACTGAACCTTTAATTAATCCTGTCTGTTCCACTGGTATTTTAGCCAAAGAACCTGTAAAATCTTGCTTTAAATTTTTTTCTACAGCTCTTATCAAACAGCTTCATGAGGCATGTACCACTGGCAACTTAGACTTTCTTCTAACTATTTTATACCACAACAAAGATGAGGCTATAAATATTATCTGTGGTGCACCATTGACATCTAGCCCCAGCGAGCATGAGGAATCATGGGATACCTTGAGGGACTTCTTACATATTGCATCTAATCATGGACATTCAGAAATTGTAAGAAAATTGATAGAATTTGGTGCTGATGTGAACAGAATGTCAGTGCAAAATCAAACACCTCTTAGTAACGCATGTGAAAATGGCAACATAGATGTTGCGAGGCTTCTGATATGTAAGGGAGCAGAAATTGATCCTTCCGAGGTAGCCTTCGAACAGTCTCCTATTTATTTTGCCTGCCTTGAAGGACATATAGACATAATTGAATTATTAATAAGCAAAAAGCCGTCTATACTCCAAATAAGTGGTCAACTGTTACTGTATACAGCAGCCTCTGAAGGACACTTAGAAGTTGTTAAATTCTTGATCAAAAAAAGAGTGAATATCAATCCACCACGGGTTCAAGCAGAAATTAATGGTGTTCCAGTAATGCTTGATTCATTGGGTTCTCCTCTCTATGGTGCTTGCTCAGGTAGACAGACTGCAGTAGCACAGTATCTGATTGAAAATGGTGCTATAGTTACTGTCAAGATCGTTGAAACATTCTGGGAGTTTCTTGGCGAAGTACTTATGAGGTGAGACCAACTTACAGGGTTTAAAATTATAAATATTGCCTGTCATGATAACTGGTCAATTATTGACCAAATTAGTTTTAACTTGGTTATACGGTACCTCCGATCCTTTCTGGCTCAATATTACATGCCAAAATCACCAGCAATGGCAAATGATTGACCAGACAAATTCAAATTTTGGATTGACATTCAGATACCTAGCCATAATTTTAAGCAATGGCTTACTTACAAAGCAATTTAAAAGCTTAAAAATTTTATCTTATTTCTTGTAGAGAGAGAAGATTACTGGTTTATTTACTAAATATTACTTGCTTGAGAACATTAATGAGTGCATGTTGTGTTCTGTTAATGCTTTTGTGGTCATGCGTTTGATGCCTTGGTGCATGCATATGCAAGAAGAGATGTAACCTAGCTCCTACACAGCTGATATGATGGTTGCCATGTTTCACTTTCCACTTGATGACCATTAGAACATGATGTATAAGAGGCTATATCTCCCATTGCATATGATTATATGCAACCAGGAAAATAAAGGTTGATTCTCCACCAACTACCAGCCTGCTTAAAGGATCTTTCTCCAGGTTATATGAATTGTCTAGATATGATTATTACCTTATCTCGAAAATTCCACATTAATTTCAGGTACACAAAAGATGCCAAGGCCAAAAGAAAAACAGCTGTGTCGTTTGAGTCCGACCCTGATATCAAAATGTATGCAGCATGTTGGGCAAACAAAAGTATATGCTCATTGCATAAGGGATGGTTTGTTAATTTGTCAGCAAGACTGGTTTCTATTGATCTGGCTCATAACAATCTGGAAGAACTGCCAGAAGAGTTGTTTTCTATTCTCCCTGTTCTAGAAGAGCTTGATGTTTCACATAACAAGCTGATATTTCTTCCTGAAATCAATATTACTGACTCATTTACAAGGTATAGTTTGTATTGTCATAATGTGCAAATTTGATCGCTAATATGTCAATTGCTGGGTTTCAATCATATGATAAATTGAAAAATTTGAATCTCTTTATCTGCTCCAAATGTTGGTCAAACACTGACCACCATGTGCTTTCAGGCATAAAAGAATTCTACTGAAAACTGTCTAGTGATTCAGCTTGTGAGAATTGCACATGAGAAAAATGATGTCAAGTGAAAACCAAGCAATAACAATATATAAGAAGTGAATATCAAGTCATTATAAATAGATATTCTAAGTAATGTATACAGTATGAGTGGCCGTGTTGTATGCGATATGCAAACTCAAGGTGTAGCCAAGAGTTTGTATATTGGATACAACACGGACAAGAAAACTATAGATTACTTGTCAAACGTCTAGGTTAGTTTATTTGTGTTTCACTAAAATTTTCAAGATAAAAGTGAATCTGGCCAAGAAAATCCATCTCAAAGTTTATGCAAATGAACAGGATTCTGTATCTGATTTACAAAACTCTTCACGGTCTTGATTTCTGTTGKGTTTTCCTCATGAATTATTAATGAGTTTAATAATTATTGTTCCATAAACTTTCTTTAGTTTAGAGAAATTGTTTGTTCAGAAGAACCAGTTAACGTACATACCATCGTCACTCTTCCAAATCAAAACGCTGAAGAAAGTGAACCTTTCATACAACAAGATCACCAGTCTAGAAGATGATGAGAACACAGACACGTATGTCAGCTGGAGGTGTCCTGCTTTGAAAGTATTAAAACTTAACAACAATTGCCTTTCATCTTTACCAAACGGAATTCAAAGTGCTTCAGGATTAGTTAAACTATTTGTGAATAACAACTATCTTAATGGCTTCCCTATGCCTTGGAAATGTCCTCTGGTGAGTATCTTGTATTGTCCCCCAAAAATTTTATCATTTGTTTTGGACTTTTCTATTTTAATCAAGAAGGAAAAGAGGGCTGCAGTGTTTTGAGGAAAATTCTGATTTCAAAGGTTTTTGATTGCCACATAAAGGTTTTAGTCAAGAAGCTGGAGGGCTCCGGGATGGGGGGGGGGGGAAGTACTCCCATATATGGACTATACCGGGATGATCCTCTGAACAGGGTATGGTTTTTCAAGCTTTTTTTCATAAACAGGGTATGCAATTTCATCCTGAGTTTCCTGTCATATTTATGGTTTCTACTTTCGTATTGACCAAAACTGGTTATTATGGTCATCAAAAAAAAAAACAATACGCGAGCTGACATAATAATTGAAACAGGAACTCAATGCAATTGATTATATCTTTTGTCATGAACAGGGTCTACAAATTTGAGTTTTTTGTCATAAACAGGGTACCCCTTTCAGAATCCCAGCGGAACACCCCTACCCAAATCCTGGTGGAGTACCCCCCTAGGGGAGGGCTACAGTGTTTGAGGAACAATGAGTCAAAAAGAAGGTCATAAGATACCGAATAATTACAGATGTAGTAAGTCAGGTAAATGATAAAGTGGAAGGTGGTTGCAGGCCTAAAATAGAACATGATAGGGCTTACTAAAGAATCATGTATTCTAATATAAAGGTATCAAAATATTAAGTGACACAGTTGGGGCCAAAAACACAGAGGTATAATATAGCAGGGGAAATGCTTCAAAACAAAGATTTTATATTTGTTTCCTTTGAAATATCCCACTTATCTTTCTGGGTATTGTTGCTAGGAAACACTGGACCTCTCCCATAACAAACTGACAGTATTCAACTACAATGTTGAAATGGTTTGGGCAAGTTCTTTGCGATACCTGAATCTGTCTTATAACAACTTGGACTGTATCTCCTGGAACATATGTCATCTGAGCAGTCTGATGGACCTTGATGTCAGCCATAATAGTATTAAAAGGCTACCAGCAGAACGAGACTGGACTTGTATCTGTTTACACAAACTGAACTCGTCTTACAACAAGGTATTTCTTTGAGCATTTTCATTATGAGTGGGCAAGTTACATCAAATTTGTTGCCATATACCATATCAAAATTATGTTGAAATCCTTTATATTTTATTGATACCCGGAAATGACCTCTGGGCAACTCAAAGTTAGAGACTAATAATTCAACTGATGATAATTGAAAATTTTAACTTCATTTTTGTTTTTATTCATGTACTTTTTTTGTTGTACAAATTTTAGCTGAGTGCAAGGTTGTTAGGCGAAGGTGCTCAGTCTAACACTCTTCGTCATCGGCTGTTCAAGGCTCCTAATCAAGATGACGGACAGGAGTTCAAAACAGATGTTGAGATTCCAGTGGCTCTCTTTGCACCAACACTTGAGACATTATTCCTTAACAACAACTGTCTTCAGGTTGTTCCACTGTCTGTCTGTCAAATGACGAACCTCATTGAACTTGACTTAAGCAAGTAAGTTGTACTTCCAGCTGTCTAGTACTAATTTACCCATGACATATTAAGGTTTTGCAGAGGAAGGGCAATTGAAAAAACCAGGAAAAAAAACCTTGAGGGAGAGAGGAATAATCTCTAAGAGAGAAGGAGGGAATCAAACCTGAGAACCCAGAGGCGAGAGGCAAGTGCACTACTGCTCCACCAACCTTGATTCCCTCATCTGTTCCTACAATTAAGGTCCTAACTTGTATATTCTTTTAGCAATGTTGACCTTAAGACTCTTCCTCCACAACTTGGGAATCTGAGAGATTGTTGGCAGCTCAGGTTAACTAACTTAAACTTGACGGGATTGCCCAAGCATGTTAGACCAGGTAAGCTACTGCAATTCAGACCATTGTAAATTTGATTGATGGAAATGGTACATGGGAAGTACGTCAATTAGATGTACAAATGAATGCATCAGAGGATAATTATGTCATTTCCAGGAATACCTTTCAGTCTCAGCTCCTATGTTCTTTGTTTTGAACTGGACAAAGATTTTACGATTGAGTGTATTTCAAATAATTATACCTTACTGTACACAGGTGGGATTGGCGTTAGACCTAAAGATACTCTGGCGTTTTTAAGAGCAACATTACGCAAGTCAGTACCATATTACCGAATGAAGCTTATGGTAGTTGGAATACAGGTATTGTGCCTAGCTGTTCAAATTTTTCATGGAAAACACCTTTAAACATAGATATTTAGGGTAAAAAAACTGATGTGATAGAAATTTGCACATTTCAATGATGGAAAAACTTTTCAATGCGTACACATTAAATTTTTTTTTTTTTTTTTTTGGATGGAGCTATGTTTTGAGCATTCTTAATGGAAAAAAATATGCTCCATAAAATAAAGCTAAACTTTGAAGAATGGAAAAACTTTTTCATGAATAGAGATTTTTGAATATTTGCTAGAAAACGTTTATCTTTTTTCCCCCAGGGCTATGGTAAAACAACCCTTCTTGCAGCACTCAAAGGTCAAAACCTCCCTAAGAATATATCCACTGTAGGGATTGTGATAGATGAATGGAATGTACAGCTAGGCTCTGGTTCCTGGTTCCCTCTATCCAGACTAATGTCTCAGGTTAGACTTATCATATCATTCATTATAATTTTTCCTATTCTTTAATTATTCTCCCTCTCCCTCTCCCTCTCCCTCTCCCTCTCCCTCTCCCTCTCCCTCTTACCCTCCCTTTCCTATCATTCTCCCTTTCTTTCCCTTTCCTCTCTCATTCTCTCTCTCTTGATGAAATACATCTTATTAGTTCTCATGAAGTTTTTTAAAAATATTAAATTTTACACAAACAAATTAAACATGAACCTTTCTACAAAACTTTCTCGCCGATAAAATTTCTAACATATAAAAATGCTATGTATAAATAAACATCTATCCATCCATTGATCATCCCCCCTCCCACCCACCCACCACATCCCTCAGTACCCAGTCAGTGTTACTAACCCTAACATTTGTTTGTCCCATTCAGTCTGCCCCACCTAGTATTACCTTTAGTACTTGGGACCTTGCTGGGCAGAGTGTGTATTACGCTGCACATCAAATGTTTCTATCAACCAGTACTCTATACCTAGGTGTGTGGAACGTCACACTCGGTGAAGAAGGCATTGAAAGTCTGAGACAATGGCTGTTGAACATTAAGGTAACATTACGCCTAGTCTGCATAAATTTCGCTTCTTTACATATTTTTAGTAAGCTTAAAATGTACTGCGCATGCTTGGGAAACTGACTGTTAATGCAATTCTTTGAAGACACGCGCATGTTATATTCGCGCCATTTTCTTGAGCATGCGCAATACATTTTCTCAGCTGGCGATTTTCTAACGATTTGGTAACGACTTTCTCACGATTTTTTTACGAAGTTCTTGCGAATTATTTCCCACTTGTTCATAGGCTCGTGCGCCATTTTCTGATGTTCTCATTGTCGGGACTCACGTCGACATGCTGCCGAAAAAGAACCGTGAAACACGCGTCGATAAGCTCAAACAAATAGTTATGAATAAATATGCGGACAGTAAAGGATTCCCTAAGATCGTAGGGAATATTGTGGTGTCTGCAATGACAGGAGAAAATATTCAAGAGCTGAGAGAGATGATATACAGTAAAGCCATGAAAACTAAAGAACAAGGAGAGAATGTCATTGGAAAACAGGTGAGCGGGTGATGAAGCCTCGCGAGTATGTTAACGTAGAGAACGCGGATAGTGATGCAAAAAAAACTTCACATTTTATCGAACCTTGAAACAGCCTCTAGGCCGATCAAAGCCAGGGTATGCAGGCTAACTCTTAGATTTAACCCTGAAACAGCCTGCCCCAGGCTGAGCAAATTATGGGCATGGCTAAATCAGATTTGGGATTTCCGTAGAATCCGGAAAAAAACCCTCAATTGAAGGGAAAGACATGGCAAACTCTGGTCTATTGTAATGGAGAGTCCGGAAATCGAACCTGAGACCCCAGGGGTGAGAGGCGGGTGCACTAATACTACAACATCCTTGATTTCCATGATATAAGTCTGTCAATCATCTTTTTGTCACTTCAGGTCCCATTGAGTTACATTCAGTTACAAGAATCAGTGTTGAGAGAAGCAGAGAGGAGAAGAGCTACAGGAGAACCACCCATATTACTTGAAGAAGAAATCCTTGAGTTAGCAAGCAAGAATAAAGACAATGATATCCTGGATCACGAGGAGCTCACGCTAGGTAACACCAAAAACATGACACCTGATGATGATGGTGGTGGCGATGATGATAAACGGTGTTGGTGATGGTGATGATGACTGATGATGGTGATGATGGTGATGGTGGTGATGGTGGTGGTGATGGTGGTGGTGGTGGCCATATGCATTCTTACCTAAGTTCAAAAAGTTTACCTAGTTCGTAGGTAAGTTTTTTGAACATGTTCAAAATTCTTACTTAGACATAGTAAACTTTTTGAACATGTTCAAAAAGTTTACCTATTCCTAAGTAATTTATTTGAACATAGTGCTCTTTTTGAACATGTTCAAAATTTTTACTGTTTTATTTTTTCCTCATATCTTAAGAAATTATAGATGGTGAGCTTTGCCTTCACAAAATAGTATTTCCCCATTGAATTTCTTTCCTCTTATGTACTTTTTTTAGTCTAATTAACGTATTTATAACTTTTTTACGCCACCATGCTAAATTGAAGTCTTAGTTTTCCGGCTTACAGTAGATATACTACTTTTGATCAAATTTGGTTTTGTCATTTCTCACTTAGTCATGGTTTCCAGCTTGTCAGCTTTTCATTAACTGTTTTCCATTCTGTGCGGACTTTCTCTAAGCACCATTGTCGCCATGCACTGTCATCTTCCCTGGTGTAGATTTCTTTTAACTCTTAGTATCCAAATTGGTTTTCAAAACCTTCTAGGATTCTAGATTTTCTTGGCTGTAATTTTCTGAATTTCATGTCCTCTCCAKATGCATTTGTTATAACTTCACTGTCTTCTGCACTCCATTTCATCTGTGAACGTCGTTCCGAAATTGATGACCTTGTTTCAATTGCTGATTTTGGAAACCAGTTCTGATATGAACCAGGCTCTGCGGATCAATACTGAGTTCTTCGTGGTACAGTAATTCTGGCTAGCTTTTTTTATAATATATGCTACATACTCTGCTCCTTATTTTTTCAACAGTAAGCATTCCCAAARTCTTTGACTTCTTGTTGCTGTTTTGTATTTTCTTGATACTTTGGGGAAATTTAAAAGAAATACGTCTCAAGCAACTTAAGGCTTTGCTTTCTTCGCCTGCTCTGTGTGTCGCTGAATTTTGTAGTTTGCATCATTTGACTCGTTTTTCGTACTGATATAGGTGAGTCTAGGACAAATATTATAGGTATCTGTTCCACWTAGGTATCTGTTCCACTTCTGCAGCTAGTGATACAGGCTGCTCCTTAGGTTTTACTTTGATGGACTTTTCCTTGTTGTTGTGTGACTCAGTTGCTCCTTTAATTTCATTTTGCGTTTTACATAGCAGTTTTGGGTGTTTACATGTCCAAGAGCAGATATGATTCCTAGCCTTAAATGGTTCTCTACACTTGCTTTTACCTTGCTATGCAGTTTAAAAATGAACAAATAGTCGAGAGAAATGCATGAGAAGTGACTAATGTTGGGTTAATGTTGAAATAAGACGAACTTACTCTGAGATGGAAATTTAGGAAAAAATCAAATACATATTTTCTTTGTGCAGTCAATGGCAAAAAGGTATCTCATTTAACGGATTGTGTTCCAATAGCTGTGCATGCACTTCTTGTGTCTTGGGATCTTCTCCTGCCACTACTGGTGAAGATGTTTTTCAAATACATGTGAGGGTAAATCTTCTTTGGATTCTTATTTCTTTACAAACTCGACAGGTCTTCGCCCTACTGCAGAGGAATCAAACTTCTCTCCTTTACTGCTAAAAACCACAGGGCTGGCGTTGTTTTACCTCTTCAAGAGCATGTACATCTTAGAAGATAGTTTTGGCCGATAAGCTAGATGATCCTTTATCAGGATATCAGAATAGAGCATAAAGATAGCTCCTAGTAAAAAATTCTTGAATCCTAAAAAATAATATCTGAGAATTGAAAATCTCGATACAATCGGTATCTCAAGTAYCTCTAACCCTAACCCTCCCCTCCCCCCTTCAAAACGGGGGTTTCGTAAATTTATTTAAAATGCCCAGAATATCTATCAGGAACTTCAAAAAGTATAGGCATACTTTTT